CATGTCCCAGTGAGTGCCAGAGTGTTCCAGCGGTGTAAACTAACTGTTTGGAACTATGAATTGGTTGTTGCGTTTACTTGTAATTTTTTTATTTAATATACGAACATGAAAATAGAGAGAACTTTCTATTATGGACTTTTAACTTTAGTAAATTTAGAAGAAAATGTTGTACTTAACAAACAATTTTACCGAAATATATAAAGTGAAAACTACTTTTCTGATAAATGTGGGAAATGTTCCTGGATAAAGCAGCCAATCTCAAGACGCAGAATCATGGGAGAATGGGAGTTTAAAACAGAGAGCCTACGTCCCCACAACCCATTGCAGACAAGGACGTAGCCGCAGACGGGATGAGCGGGCGGCATCTGAGGGGCACGCAACGTCGTCTCCTGCCGCCGAGGGCCCAATAGGTTAGGGGCAACGCTGACGCTGTCTGGTAGGCCCACAACTCAACACAATGAATCACAGGAAGCAGAATAGTGAGAGTTTATGAGACCACAGACACCCAGGTGCCAACTTACATCTCAACGAAAGAATAACTGGACACCTCAGCTTATTTCAACTGATTATTAAACACTTACGCTACCTGGAGGTTAGGTTAGGTTAGGTTAGTATCGATTGTTCTTTTGAAAATTAAATCAGCTGGGGCTAATCTTCAGGTGATCCAATACTACCGCGTCCAATATCTCGAGACTGACATAAAGGGACGATTAACACCTGTGTGGCGGACCTCCGTGACCGTGACAATTTTCAGGTGATCTTTTTCTATGACTGTATGCATTACTATCATATCGTTATCCCTAATCTCCCAGACTCGACGTGTCCGAAACCTCTGATAACCAACTGACAAGTGGTTCAATAATGCCATGTGTTCACTTCTCATAAACTTTGTTCGTTTCTAAATAAGATAAAATACATAATGGTGTTTGTTTATGTTCTAGAAAGTATTCAAGATCCAGATACGGAAGCTCAGCCCCACCTGACCTTACCTTATGATTTAACACCCAAACCTAACCTAACCTAATTCCCCAGGTAATACTTAAGGTGTTTAATCATCAGGTGAAATTAGGTGGTTGATCTTCATGTGATCCGTAATTTTCCTCAAATTCTGATCAATAACTGAGACACGAGGAACAGTTACTACTAGGTTTTGCTTATCAAGAAACTGGAAGATAAGGTGTCGCTAACTCTGGTTGACACGCGGTGCATATTCAGTCATTTTGGGAAAATCTACCTAGTGATGACATCAGGTCTGTGTGTGTGTGTGGGGGCTATGGACGTGTGTGTGTGTGTGTGTGTGTGTGTGTTAGGCGAGTCTTTACAACACCACCTAATGAAATATTGATCTTCTGAGACTGTGAGAATTTGGATCTAATTAACACATGAATTTTATCAAGTTTATCTTTATGATATTTGTCTTATCTACATTACATGGAACCGCGGCTGGTATGGGGAGGCAGTTTGTTGATGGTGCTTCAGCGGGAGATAGTGTGGTGTGCCTGTCCTGCTGTGGCGCTGACTGACACCACACACACACACACACACCTATATACGTCAGAGAGACAGACAGACACACCTTGTTATTCAGGGAAGGACGAGGAGAAAATAATATTGGAACTATTCATTTGATAAAGAGGAATATAAGGAAGGTTTAGTGTATGTGTTCTGCTGTGAGTGATTCAGAGACACTGATATTTACTGTACTCTCGACACAGCCTTAAACGAGAAGGCTTTATGGAACTGTTTGTATAGCCAGCGAAGACGAAGAAGAAGGAAGAAGAAGTGTGATGTAAACATATATTACTAGTGACGTATATTTGATCGCGTTATACCCAACGTACGACCATTCGTATACGACTAATCCACGACCAGTATACGACTAATCCACGACCAGTATACGACTAACACAAGCTCCACAGACTAGGTAAGTTGTATCACGTAAGAAAATTAAGAAAAGAGAGAGAGACATAGAGAGAGAAAGAGAGAGAAGGGGGGGTGTACCAAAACAAACTGACTTCACATTGCACAAAAATTCTTATATTTTCCCCAAAGAGGCGTCACCTAACCTAACTTTACATAACCTGGCGATTACCTAACCTAACCTAACCTAGTGCTAACGAAACCTAACATAACTTAACCAAAGGCTAACTAACCTAACTAAACGCTAACTTAACGTAACCTAACGCTAACATACCATAGCCTCCTAACCTAATCTAATCTCACCGAACCTAACCTAACCTTTACATGAGTAAGAACCACATCATAAAAATATGTTTAAAGGACTTTAGTCTAGGCACGTCTATCAAAGATTAGATAGGGAACCTCTGATCTCTGACCACGGTACTGTACAGATTTCAATTTCATACAAACGTGAGGTTAGTGAAGAGTAATTTGATTAACACTGACGCATGTTCAGATGTATTCTAGAGCCAGTGTATTATTGCGTGTTCAACACTTGTCAACATTGTGTAACAGAGATATAACCGACCAGCCAATTGTGTGTATATTTATGCAGTGTTGCAGATGCCAGGAGTTTGGGATTCTTCAGACATGGTGTTGTAAGAACCATGGGTCAGCTCGGTGTTGGTCAGCCTACATGGTGTTGTAAGAACTATGGGTCAGCTCGGTGTTGGAGCCTACATGGTTTAAGAACCATGGGTCAGCTCGGTGTTGGTCAGCCTACATGGTGTTGTAGAACCATGGTCAGCTCGGTGTTGGTCAGCCTACATGGTGTTGTAAGAACCATGGGTAAGCTCGGTGTTGGTCAGCCTACATGGTGTTGTAAGAACCATGGGTCAGCTCGGTGTTGGTCAGCCTACATGGTGTTGTAAGAACCATGGTCAGCTCGGTGTTGGTCAGCCTACATGGTGTTGTAAGAACTATGGGTCAGCTCGGTGTTGGTCAGCCTACATGGTGTTGTAAGAACCATGGGTCAGCTCGGTGTTGGTCAGCCTGGTTATGGCCACCACCGCCAAATGTTCATATTAAAAGCATTATTGCCTTAAGTGTGATGGTTGATGTGTGAGGAAGAATAATATTTAATACTTATTTCTGTATCAAATGTAACGTGATTTACTTTACGAATGTTTTGAACCATTACCATATGTTGGAACCATTATATACACTAGTCTGTGCCACAACCTAACCTAATCTAATCTAACTTAACCTGTAGTATTGTATAAAGATCCATTATTATTAAACGTTCAGATGATCGGTGCAAAGACTAAGATTAATCTTTTGGACACTTGGTGCATCTTGTCCAGTAGTTCTGAGGTGTGATTTCCTGTATTTTCTACTGGGAATACTGTATGTCTGGTGAGATGTGTGTAGATGGTAGGGTTGTTTCTGACCGGCGGGCAGCGGCGGACTGGGTCAAAAATTTCTACCGGGACAACTTGTAAAGGGCCCACTCAAAGGGTCCAAAAGGGCCCTTAATCCCAAAACGTAGTCAGGAACCATCACTGGCTCCACCGAAATTTCCCGGTATGGTGGGCCAGTCCGCCACTGGCGGGCTAGTTACCTTATCCACAATCTTATCAGTACGAGAGCAATAACAACGCCCAGAGAATGGCGGGGTATCTGTGACACTCTTTTCACTTTACTTTTATCTTCTTCTCCACTGATCGGCTTGTAAGCGGTCGGTCACGTCTGTGTTACACATTGTTGGCAAGTACTGGACATGTACTGGCTCCTGAATGCATCTGTACCTGCTCCGTGTTGGTCAAGTCTGATCTTGAATGAACTCATATTCGGTGCCGTCACAACACACTCTGGCAGACTGCTAGATGTGTAGACTTATAGATGTGTGACACTTATAGGGAAAGTGTGTGGCACTTCTATTGAGTGTGACATTTCTAGAGAGTGCGGTACTTAGTGTATTGGGCATCTCTTGGTCTTGTGTTATAACTATAAAGGAGGTCGAATTATGTAAAATTACATGAAAACTTAGTCAGCACAAGCAATGAGCTGTGCCAGTGCTATCAGCCAGCATCGTTTGGTCCAGTTCGCACACAGATAAGATTGGTGTGTGTGTGTGTGTGTGTGTGTGACCAGAGAAGACTACCTCAGGTGTCCCCTCCTCAACAGGTCAACAAGATGGGTTCGTTCATGGGCCACGTGTTGCCAGGCCCGTTCTTCTGCCTCTTTCCGGTGTGGTGGATTTACAACATCTTCAGGAGGTTCCACCTGTGCCGGAGGACACTCACAGTAGGGGAGGGAGGCAGCTCCACCACCTACCGCAACACCTGCACCTTCACCTGCTCCTGCTGCCCCTCCCTCCCTAGAAGGTTTCATCAAGGTGGTTTCCGTCATCATCGGTATGACGGGTGAGCGTAAAAGCTGATGTACTTATTCATTTACTTAATCATCTATTTAATTATTCACTATTCAACTATCCTTATTTTAGAGTATCAAGCCTGTGTAACCTGATCTTCTTTTCGTTACGCCTTTCCATTCTAAATATAGGCTTCAATTCCATTTATCCTGATCTTCATTTGTTTGTATAACACTTTTCAGTACGATACCTCCTTATACAAAAACCCTATAATAATCAGAGTTTATTACGGCCTTTAAACACGGAGAGTTTGTCCACCTCGGCAACGCCCAACACATGACTATGTTCTTCTTCTTCGGCCTCAACGGCGCCGTGACATCCTGGCCCACTACCGCGCCTCCCACAAGACCTTGACTATATCACCGCCTGCCTCGCCTTCTGCATGGAGGGTTTACTGTTTCTCTACCACTGGCCACCCTATGGATGTACAGGTTAGTGAGTCTCTGTCCTCTACTGACTAGCCTTTTGATTCTTGTTTGACTTTATTTAATATCCATATAGGACTGAGAGATGTCACTTGCCTATATAAAGCTGAGAGGTGCCGTCACAATGAAACTGAGATACATTGTGTGTTTCTTCACAGATACATACATTGCTGTTGTATGTAATCAGTGGGCATAGTGTGCTGGAGATGTACCACAAGAGGAGCGTCCTTGCTGCCCTGGCCCGCACTTCCATTTCCCCCTTGCAGGTAAGTGACTGTTCCTCCTACTGACGCTCGTGAATAATCAGATTCATATTTTACTGTGCAGAACGCTGTGTTTGATATGTTGTTCTCTCTCATTTGTTTCTTCTGTCTTCCTTCCTGCCTGTCTCTCTGTCTCTACGTATCTGCCTCACCTCAGCCAACCATCTCATACCCCGTCTTTATCTCCTCCAGGGACGTGGTTCTCCAGGCGGGGTTCATTCTCTACCTCCTGTCGGCAAACACTGCAGAGGAGAACCACGACCAGATGATGCTCGTCACTCATCTTCTGCTGGCACAACGCCCTCGTCTTCATCGTCATGGCGCTTCTGCTTCCTCATCCACTTCCGGGAGGCCTTCACCCACCTCCGTGTACCATCAGCTTCATCCACTCACCTGCACCCAAAACCGCCAGCTGACTAAGCTTAACGCGGAGCAAGTGCAGCACATCATAGCGGATTCTGAGGAGGAGGACGTGTAGTGGAGGAGGAGGACGTGTAGTGGAGGAGGAGGACGTAGGAGGAGGAGGATGTAGTGGAGGAGGAGGACGTCTAGTGGAGGAGGACGTGTAGTGGAGGAGGACGTATATAGAAGAACGAGAGGCTATAAAAAAGTTATACGAAGGGATACATACATACAAAATTCGTAACTGATTTAGTCTGAATAAGTGTTTGTCGTGACGTCGTCGATTAATTCATTGTTATTTTTTTGCATAATTACATCATCTTGGTTATTATATTAATAACATAGGTTCTGTGCTGTTATTATCCTACTGTTGAATCTTAAGTGAAATAAATGTTGAGTTATTAAGGAGGAAGACAGTAATCCTTCAGTCTTTATGGGTGATTTACTGACAGAATAAAAACCCAAAATCCCACTTGACTAAAATCCCATCACTGAACTATTTCCACTGCAAAAATCTTAATCAACAAATCCTAATGGACAAATCTCGACAATCCCTACTGAATTACAATGGAGAAAACCTTAAAGGTTGTGTTTCATAATGTTGATACAGGAGTTTGTTCTACGAGTGTGTCATTGTTTGATGTTGTGATTACTGAATACAGGGTAATTTTTATATCAAATAAAGTTAATTTGTTTTTTTCGTTTATTTCGCAAACATAATTTAGTGATAGAGAGAGAGAGAGAGAGAGAGAGAGAGGAGGAGAGAGCTAGCTTGGAATATTCTCAGCCTCAGTGTCTAAAGTGTTGACTCACGAGAGAGTGGCCAAACAGTAACTCTAGACAAGGTGTTGGTAGATAGAAATATTGTCCTCGGTACCAAATTAAAGGAATTGATTTGGCGAAGATGAATCAGAGAATATGTGATGATTGTGAGTTTGTGAAGGATAATTATACTATGTTGTGGTTATTATTGCTGAGGTTAATATCAAGTGTTAGTAAAAGGAGGAAATCAGAGTACCTGGATAAACACCTCTGTTCTGAGCCACAGGGGGTAGAGCAATGGTTACCCCACCACCAACACCATCTCTCTCTCTTAAGATTATTGTACCTATGCTTAATTCCTTGATTTATTCTTGTTATGATGGATCTCTCTATATCTATTCTGAATCTGTCTGTCTGTCTGTCTGTCTGTCTGTCTGTCTTCTACCCAAGTTACCTTCTTATTGAGCGCGATACTAATTTCCATAAGCACACACACACACACACACACAGCCCCCCACACACACCCCACACACACACAGCCCCCCCACACACACACACACACACACCCCACACACACACAGCCCCCCACACACACCCCACACACACAGCCCCCCCACACACACACACACCCCACACACCACACACACAGCCCCCACACACACACACACCCCACACACACACACACACACACCCCACACACACCACACACACACACACACACAAGCCCCCCACACACCTCACCCCCCACACACACACACCACTAGAGCGAGGTACACGACAAGGGCGGGTTGGTAGAGCCGTGAGCTCCGCCTCCGCCTCATAAACCAGCCGAGGTTTCTTCTGCTTTTATCTACTGTGTGTGTGTGTGTTTGTCTGTGTTTTGATTTTTGTGTGTTTTATGTTTATGTTTTTTATTGTGTGTGTGTGTGTTTTTGTGTTTTTTTTGTGTGTGGTGAGGAGTGTGTGTGGGTGGGGGGGGTGAGGGTGTGTGTGTGTGTGTGTGTGTGTGTGTGTGTGTGTGTGTGTGTGTGTGTGTGTGTGTGTGTGTGGTGAAGGAGTGTGTGTGTGTGTGTGTGTGTGTGTGTGTGTAGGAAGTGAGGAGTGTGTGTGTGTGTGTGTGTGTGTGTATGTGTGTGTGTGTGTGTGTGACCAATAATTACGTGGCAATGTAATTATGGACGAGTTTTAAAACCAATTAAATAAAAGAAAAAAACGACAAACTCCTAGAACCGTAGAGAGAGATCGAGAGGAGAGAGATAGAGAGAGATAAACAGAGAGACATAGAGAAAAGAGAGAGATAGAAGAAGAGACGAGAGAGACACAAAGATGAGAGAAGAGAAGAGACATAAAGGAGAGAGAGACAGAGAGAAATGACAACAGACAGCTCATGTTCTTAGACGTAGGTAGGTTAGGGTTAGGTTAGGTTAGGTTAGGTTAGGTTAGTTAGTTAGGTTAGGTTAGGTTAGATTAGGTTAGGTTAGGTTAGGTTAGGTTAGGTTAGACTAAATCATCTTACAGTGGGTCGATACAAACTGATGATAAACGAGTGTTATGTATCTCTGAGCTGTATTAGACCAAAGAACATTACATAAAATAACTAAGGTTCACATATTGACCAATCAGAGACCATAGCCATCCTGTATATGAGGCAGCCGTCACAGTCATTATACCTACGTCAATTTGATGAGAGAGAGAGAGAGAGAGAGAGAGGTGACATAATAAGAATACTCCTAATTACACCAAAATGAATAAATCAGTGAAGTAGACACATGTAAACAGATAACATGGTCGTCTTGGTCACACATCAGCCAACGACAACACGACTATTGATGAAAATCCGTCTATACTCCCGTTAGTTGAGGGAGAAGTAGAAAATATTTTGTAGTGGTTTGAACTGTAGTCTTCCTCCTTCCTCTCGCGTCTTCTACTCTCCTACTTCCCTACCCTACCCCCACGGCACTCATTCCTCAGAATCTCTCAACCTATATCAAGGACAGAGGACGCCTATACAGTTCCTACGATAGAGTCTTAGTACGACATTGGGAAAGACTAACCTAACGTCTTCACCATTGAGAATCTACCTTTACGTCTTAAGTTTTAAATACGTTCTCGACATATTTACTTTGGTGTGAAAAATTCAACGTAAGAATATATATTATTTTTACCGTGTATTTACATTCTTATATCATCAGTTTGGAGGAATCTACCTTACGATCCTTTGAGATATCGAGTATCAGCGAGCAGTGAGTTAGGTACAGGTTCATACATCTTGTTGTTATGTGGGGTGAAATATTTAATGTAGGAGCCTTTGAGTACTGAGCCACTGAAGCATGACCTTCCCGCGCCTTAGGAGAGGAGGCAAAATTGCACAAAGGTGAGGGAGGGAAGGGGAGGGGAGGGGGGGAGGGAGGAGGAAGGGAAGGAGAGAGGGAGGAGGGAGGAAGAAATTCTTGACGACCTGGACGAAACTGCCTGAGTCCTCGTCGTGCCCCCAGACTTCCGGCAACGCCTTAGCTTATCTGTTTGCTCTTTCTGCTGTTCCTGCTTCTGCTGACTTTTTATGGCGTTTTCTGCATCTGTAGAGTCAAGCTTGTTGGTGCATTCATTTCTATCAACAGTGTTTTAATGGCGCTGGAGACCTATAATGCCCTTTGTGGCGTGTCTATGTCTGTCAACTGTCTCTTTATGGTGCTGGCGTTCCTGCTGATTGGCGGTCTTGTTATGGCGTCCCTGCCTTTATTCAGTCTTTAGTGGTGTTTCGGCTTTGGTTCCCTTAGTGGTGCTGTTATTCTTTATAATGGCGCTCCTGGTTATTAGTCTTCATGTTGTTAATATTAATGTTTATAATGCGTCCATATACTCCTGAACCCGTGGTGGTGTCTGAAAGCTTTGAAAAAACCTTGTTCACTTTCTTTTGATAAACAAATGACGGTCTATTACAATAAATTAGCCACTTGCGGAACAAATGGCGTACGGTAAGCGCAGTTGCTGTTGAATTACGTATTACTGGGGCCTATAGTCTCAATACCAATAAGGTTGATGTTACTTCTATTACCAGCGAGAGGATCGTTCTTATCCACAGGTGTTTGTAGCTCTGTTTTGCCCCTTACCCACCCGCTGGAGTGATGACGCCACAACATTACAATTTCATGAATTACCCACAACTTTGTTTACATTATCCACCTGATTTCTTCCTTCACGTACCAGATTCTTAAAAAGTTATACGGTAATGTTTTATCCTTTAACGAGAGATGTGATGACGTGTGTAATAGGTGTGCTTATGGTGGCTGTTAACTTGTTGCTGAGTGGTAAACTGTCTCTCACCTGAGTCTCAGTCTCTCTCACCTGTGTCTCTTTCTTACCC